TGGTAATTTTGGGATGTGATATTACTTGTTCTCTTCTAAGTAAATTGGCTGGACTTTATAAAGCAGGCCATTTTTCAACCACAGCGGAGTGAGGTGATGGTGTGGGGGATGGTGGCGTCAATAGCAGAGGAGCTGGTAAAACATGCAAGAGACTACTGTAAAACAAATGAGCTCTGCTATGATAAATGGCTTTGAAAGTGAACAGACCAGTAGGAGGAAAATAATAATAATTGCCGTGCAAGAGGGCACAGAGCAAGTACATCAGATCCAAATTGTAAAAGATTTTTTGATGAGTTTCACAAAAAGAAGAAAAGATAACAAAGGCAATGTATCAGGAAGCTTAGCATTAATGATGCACTTGGGTTGCTTTGTAAAAATTGTGAGGAAAAGAAAAGTGGCTTGCCTCTTTTCCAGGTAATGTAATTGCTATATTGGTGATCTAACACCCTCATTAAGCATGGATCAAACAGCAGCGGAGAAAGCAGCAGCATGGAACCAGAGTGTGAAACAGACAGGATTAGTGGATGAGAGAGATGTTCTCTCACGCGCAGTGCATGTTTGAAGTCTCCCACATGGCTAATTGTAGACTGAAGACACTAGCATTGAGAAGTTCAGCCTCCCCACTGAATCACAGATAGCTCACTTGCCCTTGGCTAGCCTCCCAGTGTTTGTGTTGATTTTTTTCTGAGCAATTAACAATCTGACACCATGACCTCGGACTGACAAGAGAGGGAAAGAAAAGAGGGAAGGTACTTCTTCCATTTCAGTGCAGGATCTATTAGGACTTTAACCTCTGAAATGTTGACATATTCTAAAGAAAAAAAAACATTTAATTTTGCAGCTTTTTAGTATGCTCTTTAAGACTCAAATATTCCACAGGAAACCAGCTATAAAAATATTATAACCATATTACAGTGATTATTATAAAGTTCGAGAATCCAGTGCATATAATTAACATGTGTCTACTATTGATTTAACTCTCAGTTAATCCTATATAATTGGCTACAGATGTTAGATAGTTGCCCTGTAAGAGGCTGAGGACTTGTCCAGGGTGTACTCCAAGTTTAGGCCAATGACAGCTGGTATAGGCTCCAGCCCCCTGTAACCCTAAATTGAAAAGCAGCTAAAAAATGATTGAATGATGGATATGGTTGTGCTTCACTATTCCTCAGGTCTGGACTATATTTTTTTTGTTTGGTTGTTTGGTTGTTTGGTTGGATTTTTTTGTACTTTATCACAGTTGTTGTATGAATTATGAATTATGTGTTCTTAATGACTAAATGGATGTCAGATTATTAATTTTCTTTTACTTAACCGATTGTTTAAAACAACTGATAATAATTATTAATAAATAGATTTTAAATATTTTCAAAAGAAGTAAATATCATAGTAGATAAAGTAAAGAAGTAGATATCATATAATTTTTTTAATTTGTATTTTTTTTAATTGTCAAATATGTCTGGGCAAAACAGAATAGTAATGCAGTGACAATCAGCCAGGGTGACATTATAGTAAGTGGGTGACTGTAGTTTGGAAAAGGTCACTAGAAGTATCAGAAGAAGGGATGAGGAGGGTGAGTCAAAAGGGCACGTAGCACTCCTGCTAGCAGGAATTAGTTTCAGAAATTGCTAAGAAAGGCAACGCATGAGGTGTGCTGGTGGTATGATCAAAATCTGTATCTAAGAACAACTTTGTGTACCGTGCAAAAAATGTACATATATGTTGTTTATTTGTGATTTTCGATGGGTCAGCAATGCAGAAAAAACTGGCCAGATCTTGATCGAAGTTAAAAGGCAATCATGTTAGACACTAAAAGAAGAGTGAGCCACTGCCAAGGTTAGTGCTGCCATGGACGTAATCCATCACGTATGGTCTGTAAACCTATTGGTTTGGAGATGCCATACTCATGATGACTACTAAATATGATAAGCTACCAGTGAATCTGATGGAGAACCCTGGAATACTATGCATGATACTATATAATACTATACTCAAACAGTAGTGACTTCGCAATCACGCCCTAAACCAGGGGTGTCGAACTCCAGGCCTCGAGGGCCGGTGTCCTGCAGGTTTTAGATATCACCCTAGGTCAACACACCTGAATCAAGTGATCAGTTCATTACCAGGCCTCTGGAGAACTTCAAGACATATTGAGGAGTTCATTTAGCCATTTAAATCAGCTGTGTTGGATCAAGGAAACATCTAAAACCTGCAGGCCCTCGAGGCCTGGAGTTCGACACCTGTGCCCTAAACCATACTGTGCTTCATCGTCTATTCTGTTTTACAAAATAAACACACTGCGTTAATGAATACCATACTCATCTGGGAATTTTTACTTAAATGATAAATCAAATGAGAAGTACATAGAATGATAGCATGGAACTCTAATAGAGTAATATGATATCGAACCTCTTATTAGCACTTTAAGGCACTTTCATATTGATTTTTTTATGTTAAGACATTATCCATTTTTATATACATTCTCAGAGTGCAGCTAGAATGGAGGTGCTCAAAGTATGTTGGAAAATTGCTGTTGCACCATCTTCAGGCAATTTACTAAAAAAGCTCCTAAGCTCCAATTCGTGTCAAGTGGACCTGGAAAATGATAAAGGACAATCATGTGAAGAGGTCCTTGGTTACTATATAGTGATGGAATAGAATCAACTATATAACAGAAATGTTAAGAATAAAACAGGAGGAATAAGGAATGCCCCCACACAGGAAGGATGAACAGACATGAATTGCTATATCCTCAAGCCAGAAAAGAGGAATTGAGGCTGCAAGGTGGGCAGAGTGCAGCTGTGCTGCTGTGTTCTGGCAAGTGATTTATGTCTATGCAAAGGCAACGAAATGTAGAAACAAGATTGGAGCACATTCTGAGATGAACTTAGGACTTTGTGGATGGCTGACTGATAGTTCCTGTCTCCACTCAACAATGTTCTAAGATAGCCCAAATAGATAAGGCTGAAGGGAAGGCATTTTAAGTATAGCTTAAAATTGTTTAAACAAACAGTTCAAAATATTTTAAGGAATATAGCTGCAGCTAAAAAAGCTGAAAAAGCCTGAGGCCAAAATGGTATAATTTGACAGTAACTATTCCCTATAGGTGTGGCAAGTTAATTAGGAGAATCTAGAATGCCACAGCAATAGGCACTGACTAAGGTTTGAATGGAATATAATTAAATTAATGCACCAGTAAACACTGGAAATGATCACAACAAGGAGTCTATACTGTTACATATGCTACCTCTTCACATACCCAGCTTGAATGAGATATTTATCTGCATGTTCTAAATCAATTTTTATTGAACAATTTTGACATATAGTTCATATTTTTTTAAGTAACTACTATTTAAATTACACAAAGCAGCAACAATAAAACCAAACTACATGAGATCCAAAACAACTCTATAATAAATGTTAATTCTTTAAACTGAGTATTTCAGTTTGGGTTGAAACCGCAAAATAATGCAATTCAAATAAATAAATGTAATAAGATATTATAAATTAAAAAAATAATCAGGTCAAAGTCAATATAAATCAGGATTATAGAATGAAATGTGTCAAGGGGAGGTCAGGGACAGCAACAACATGGCAGCTGCTCTTCTTGTAATCAAACCACCGAGAACTACTTGCAAGAATTACATGTTACCAAGTGACCTGCATCCAGGGAAGCCAGATAATCAGTAAAATAAATGAAAAGAATGTGGATGTTCAAGTCCATTTACTCAAAGTTGAAAACTCTGTATAGAGTTATTAAATCAGACACAACCTGCAACCCACTGAGTAAAAATATATTTCAATGGAAGTGCCAAGAAAAAGAAAAAAAGGGCTAATAATGTCACAGCGTAAAGAATTAAGCTATCTCCTGCACAAGATCACCCTGACACCCATCCTTAACCATATGTTAAAAATGCCCTGGTTAAACAGTCTTTAAAAATACTGCACATTTCAAAGGAAGCTTTGCTTCTGAAGAGAAATAAAAAAAAAGTTTAACCAAGTATGATACCATGTGTTAGGTACTCAAGAGTGTTGAAGCTACAAGCAAAAGGAGACGACCAGCATTCCCATACTATTATAGTCTGTAAATACTGTTTTTAAGAAATTCACTTGCCTGTGTAAAAGAAAATTCAAAGGATTCTCACTCCTGTTGGAACTATCAAAGGCTGTTTTTTGTGTGTGTGTGTGTGTGTGTGTGTGTGTTTGTGTGTGTGTTTGCATGTGTCATTTTTTTTTCATTGCCTGTGTTAACTGAAGTGTGAAGTATGCATATGGTTTATGCATGACTAATCAATTAAGCAAGGGAGTAAACAAGTGAGTAACTTCAACAACAACTCAATAAGAAAGGAAGGTGGAAAACAGAAGTTCTCTTTGGGGACAATAAGATTAAGTATTTTCTACCAACTTCTCAAGTCATACAAAAATGTGAAGTCACCAACTTAAGGAAAGCTCTCTTCAGTGACAAGAGTCTCTATTAGCATTCACACCCGGTGTCCATAAGTGAATCTTCCCACCATTCAGCTATTCTCTATTCACAATGCTTCTCATCAAAAACCGAATAATGGTAGAGCAAACACACAAAGCAGAAAGTCTGTGATATGCAAGCAAACAACTATCTAAATACGTACAAATGTCTAACCACAAACAGCGTAGCTTAATCTCAAGATTACGAGGAACAGGGTATGTAATCAGTCTCATTTATCTGTAGTTCTGTACCAAAACAAACATTTGCACCTCAGCAGAGATTATGGCTTAAGCAAATACACAAACAACCATGTGAAAGCAAGAGATATCTTCTTATACACACAGTGATGCTGAAGCCATCTCTTTTCATTCAGTAATATTCCATGGGAATACAGTATTTACCAAACCTACTGGGTAAGGTTAAGTAATCAAGTACAAGACTAATTTTTATTAAAGCAATGCAAATAATTACCTCTGGTCGCATCATTGTGGACCGAATTTTATTTTAGGAGTAGTGGCGGTGGTGTGGGTCATACCTCGCATTCTCGAGAGCCTGAAATGGTATAGGTGCAGGGTCCGGTCCCATTGACAAGCACATCCATGGCCTCAGAATTGGTGGGCTTGTAGTCCACATAGTACTCCTGCAGGGGAGAGCTCAGTGTGCGCTCTGTCTCTCTAGTTTTCTTGCGACGTTTGCGAGCTGCTGCCGAATGCTCCTGCAGTTGCTTGACACTGCTAGGATAGCGCTTCCATGATACATATATTACTAACAGGATCATCGCAACAGAAAGAAAAAGGGCAACACTTCCAGCCACAATCTTGTGGAAAGACACAGGCTCCAAGTCTTGCTCTGGGGGTAGTGCTACAGGTGGAGTAACTGCTGAAGATGTAGGACCCCTAAGAGATCCCTCACCTCTCTTTCCAGAATCAGTGGGTGAAGCAAGGATAGCTGGGCGATGCTCAGTTTGGGCAGGGACACTAGATGGGTTTGGAGGAATACTCACTGTAAGTGGTGTTGCTTGGTTTGATTTACAAACACCAAAAGCTTCAACTGCATCCATCACTTTTTCACCCTGGGCTTTCTTCGGGGAGGCGCAAATCATGGTGGTTTCCTTTGCCCCTCTAAAGTTTCTCAACCAGGCCACCAATGGGCAGATGGCAGGGCCACAATCCCATACATTCCCAGCTAAGCTAATCATAGTCAAAGAGATCCAGGCATCAACTACCTCCTGGGAAACATTGGTCAGCTTGTTGGAATCCAAGTTGAGTGTTTGCAGATTGGGTAAGCATTGGTAAACTGCAGCATCTACTTCTGTCAGCTCATTCCCCGACAGATCCAGTTTCTGGATGGAGACCCAGGTCCAGGTCAGGCCCTGGTTCATAGAGCGAATCCGATTCCACTGCAGGTAAAGAGCCCGCAGATTGTAGAGGCGAGGAAAGTGAGAAAAATTGATCTTTGAGAACTGGTTATGCTCCAGATGCAGCTCAGTGAGTTTGACCAGGCCAGAAAATGCATTTCGAGTGATACTGCGCAGACGGTTGTAGCCCAAATCTAGGAACTCGAGATTTCTGCAATCTTGGAACAGACGCATTGGAATAATTTTAAGAGAGTTTGAGCGTATGTGAAGGCTGAGAAGCTTCCGTAGGCCCTGGAATTGTCCAGGTTGCAAGGCTTGCAGTTTATTATACGAAAGGTCCAAATTACGCAAATTAGGGACAGGGTGGAATGTGGTGTTGTGGAGTGATGTGATCTTATTGGAACTCAGGATCAGTTCTTTAAGTCTGCGGACCCCCTGGAAGGCCATTGCATCCACAGATGCAATGTAATTATGGTCCAAATAGAGCCAGATGAGGTGGTTGAGTCCTACAAACTGGCCTGCACGAAGACTGGCGAGGCTGTTGTATCGTAAAGAAAGGCCCTCACAGCCTCCTGAGAGGTTCTTGGGGACATCACGAAAGGCGCTTGACTCACAGTAAACAATTTTTCCATCACAGCGACAACTCTTGGGGCACTGGCGCTCACTTAGAGATGGATTTGCTGCCAGCCACACCTGCATCAGGAGTTGGACCACTAGCCAGCGGCGCCGCAGAGCAGAGCCTATAGTGAGGGAAGGGAAAGGGATAAAACAAAATGGAAAAGAAAAAACAAAAAAAGAAGGGGGGGGGTTATAAAGAAAAGATTTAATACAAATTCAAAAACATTTAAGCCATATTTTTTAATTAATTTTATAAACAAATACTTTTTTTTGTATGAGTGAACAGAAAATGGATTTATTCACACCCAGACAAGGCTTTTTACCCACAAACAGGGGCCACAATCTTAGCAGTTTTAGCAGCAACTTCTGATGAAGTGTCCTCAGGTAAACATCGAGTGCTGTACCTGCACTTATACATTTGGATGACTATTTTTACTTATGAAGTCAGTATACTAATACAAAAACTGAACTTTTTGACCTCCATAATAAACACAGGAATTGTTGTGGATGCATCTGAAGGAAAAGTCCCTCACAGTACAGAAAACATATTTGAAAAGCTTAAAACCAACTTCACCAAACAAGAAAGTCAGGACAAAGCATAAGTGCTGTTAAGGATGAAGGATCCATTTTCTTAGTCACTCATCTGATTTACAATTATGCAAAAACAACCTCAGATGAACAATTACACTAAATGTTATTTCTTTAAAAGCCTAAATGCTGTGCAGACTACATGCAGTGGGGAAAAGTACGCTCTTACTGCTTCCATAGATTTCAAGAGGGTAAATTGCTGCCACGTGCTACTAATCGGCAACACTTGATTACTTGATATGCATTGTAATTTTCCTACCAAATATGTGCATAGCTGATAAAAAATGTGCAAGTTTGGGGTTTCCGAATTTTGCCTATGGACATTACAATATGCAGACTGGAGGAACCCGACCACTGACTTTTGGATTAGTGGATATTCGACTCAACCCTTTAACCTTCTCCAATGATGTAGGAAATATTTTCGTAGCACATTTTGGGCCCATTACTACCAGTTATTTATCACGTAAATGCCACAGCTTGCCTGTGTATTGTTGCTGACCGTGTACATTCCTTTATGGCTGCAATTTTCTATCATCTACTGACTACTTGCAGCTTAATAGTGTGGACCATGTCATGACCAAAAGTCATTTCACTTCAATGGCTGACAGTGAGTTAAATGGATTTCAATGGCCTTTCCAATCAGCAAATTATAATCCAGTAGAATACACCTTTTGGGTGTGGTACAATAGGAGATTCAGGGCTGAATGTGGATGTGCAAATCTGGATTTTATGATACAACAATATCACCGTGGTACACAATCTCAAATCAACAATTATTTTAATGGACCCCCACCTTGCATCATCGTGTTCCTAGACAACTGAATAGTGGATACATATCTTTGCAATATGCTGGTTTTAGAACAGCAGCACCTTCCTAACAAAGCACCATAATTTATGAGCTATAAAGGAATAGCAATCTATTTTCAGGATTATTATCTTAGCTTTTACTATGAGATTAAAATCTGAAAAACACATAGAGAAGAGAAAAGGAAAAAATTTAACCTTTCAACCAAAGAATAATTTTAGAATGCACTGCCTTAAAATCTACTTTTGTTAGGGATTCCATCATCAATAAGTGATATAAAGAAATGTTATTTGCTTATATAGCAAAGTTGACATCAGTTAGTTTTGATGTCATTGCCTCTGCAAGTTTACAGTGAATACCCAATGAAAATCAATGTTGAGAGAAGAAACTTTACACAATCATATCTTTATCTGCATTTATATTCCATTGTCCTATAAGCAGTCATTGTACTAAATGCAGGAACAGATAAGTCATGAAAGGGAGCCCGCAAAGAACAAATTAGCATTCAAGAGCTTATGGTTGTGTATGCAATCCTGGAGGCATTTCAATTTAAACTCCAGACATTTCATTTTTAACCAAACAGTGCAGTACAGATTTTGTGTGAATCATCACTTCTGCTTTCCACAGGTCCAAATATAAAAATCTGAATAAACTCCATGGGAACACACAGCTCACCTCGGGTGTAGAAAACAACCACCTGAAATCCAAATGTATGGGTGGAGAATGTCATGGCCCGCATGTGAATGATGCATAGAATTGTTAGTTTTTAAAGAGTCGGGTGTTGTGAATGCACAGAATTCTTGGTTTTGGGGTTACATTTTTTGTTTTAAAAACTAGTTCAAAAGTGAAAAAAAGGATTAAGTCCCTGTGATATCACTCCTTGTTCTGTGATGTGACCGAGTTCTTTCCAGTACAAACATTCCCCTTTACAGAGCCAATAATGATCTGTTGTTAAGATACATTGATTTTCTCTTTGGGGAGGTATTATGAGGGAATTCACTTCTTTGTGTTACTCAAGGCAAGATCATGCAAGTGTGGACTTGATAACAATTATCACAATGAAAGAGGTTATTATGTCAAAACGGAAGTTGTCCATGGTTTTAAAATGTAGAATATGTCTATATGGCAGAGATATGTTAAAACATGGAAGACTTTGGGGATAGCTTTGGTGTGTTGGTGATTTAAATTTTGTAGGGTTTTTTTGTAATCATAACTGGATTTGTCATAAATGAGTGCCTGACATAAAGTGGCTGAGAGGCATCATGTAGCATATGGTATCTAACATAGCTATTTTGCTCTTTGCCAAGCATCTGCCGATCCCATATGGGTATGGTATGTGTATTTGTCTGTGTCTAAGAGTGTGATGGATAGAGACACACTTATTGTTTGTTTTCAGAAGAATCTTTCATCATTTCTTACAGATGGAGGGAACCATAGAACACTGCAGATAATTTGTGCTGGCTATTGATTATACTAGCACATACATCAATCATGTTTCTTCATCTTGGATCTTACTATTGTGATATTTAAACATAAATATTGCAGAGAGAGAAAGACGATGATCACAATATGCAGTATTTCTAAATGCAGACGATTTGGTTTTCGCTTTAACATTTGTGAATGCAACTTTCACTTGTCATTACTGTCATGCCTCAGAGGCAAACAGAAAAAAAGACTGGTAAAGTAAATAGACAAGTACTGATGTACAAGAATACTCATGTGTGATGTTTCATGTGCATTCAAAGGTATTTTAATAGACAACACTTTAGACTCGGAGGTTATTGAATCTATGTTTTCTAAATTTTGCATTTAAGCATAAAGAAGCAACCCCCACTGTTTTCCTCTCTCGTGTGCATAATATGTTTACTTTATTAGAAGAGTCATCTCTTAAAGACTAAAGCTGCCTCACACAACACCCTTTTCCCCTTACTGACACTGTATGTGGTTTAATGAGAGCTCTATGCTCTAATGCCTCTGTAAGTCATCTCCTTCCCCACTACTCATCTAATCATATTCACAAAGGAGCACAAGTCACCCGTTCAGGTGTCACTCAAAGGATTGGTGTTTCTTTTACATCTAACCTGATGTTCCCCTCAATATTACTGTTCTTCTGCTGCATCAAGATGAACAATTTCTCCTTTATATTCCATTGTGTTTAAAATATGCTGGTTTCACATGCCCTTGAACCCTCAGCACCATAAGAATGTATTTATAATGTGCCATCCATTTTATGTATGTGGTCAAAATCATCCTCTCAGCCCTTCTCACTTCCCTGCTTGATTTCCATTTTCACTTCCTAGCCATGTTTTCTTTTCTTTTTTTTTCTTGCTTGTGTTGAGAGTCACCATTTATGATGAACATTGTTCTTGGACAGAGTTTATTGTTCTTTATAATGTATAGATCTGCGCTTGTCATTTTTCTCCATCACTCTGGGCAGTTTTATCTCAAAATCTAATGGAGATGGATGTGTCGCAGTTAAAGTTTGTCCAAAGGCATGTGTGTAATGCTTACTTATGTAGCAGACAGCCCTGCTGTCCTCAGCACGAGAAGATAGCTATTTCTGCCTCTCAACCCTAACACATAGAGAGAGTAAGTGCACTTTACTGCTGACCTAAAATAAAACCAAATGTAGCTTAATAACTTGGCAAATGGACTCACTAACTGGTGCACTTTGAGTGCACACAAGTGGTTCATTGCTATTTGCTGCCTGTCATTGACAAAACTGCAACCAGACTAAGTTTTGACTGTGCACAGAGACTGGGGAGTAGCCTAAAACATAAGGAAGGACGTCCCCAAATCAGCCTAAGCCATCCTATTAGTCTCCAATTATCTTTGAGATGATAGCAAGGCCTGCCAAGTTGGACTCATTTTAGCAGTTGTTGGAAAACATTGTGTCCTTGTAAGCCTGCCTTGTGTTTGTTAGAAACCAAGTAGAAAAGCACTGGGGGGAGTATCGTCAAGAATACCGTGTGCAAACAAGCACACATAGATATGCGTATATACTGAGACAAATACACCAAAAGAGAGAGAGAGAGAAGGAGAAAGAGAGAGAGAGAAACAATGTTTTGTTTTTGCCCCTTGTCTGATTCCTGATTTCCCTTGGTGGCAATAGTTCCATGAAGGTAGTCAGAGAATAAGTAATCAGTGCACTCTACTCACTGCAGTGCAGTGGAATAAGTCTCTGGCCATATCAAATTCCTCTCCGAACTCCCTAAAGTGCTTTTCATTATGGTTACTGTAACAACACAACAGATTGCTGCAAGTAACGGCATGTAACCAAAATTCTTGTGGTTGCAGTGATATTTTGAGGGCAGCAAAAACTAGTAATACAATTTCTGTATTAAGTTCAATACAAATTTGCCTCTAGCCTCATATAACACTGTGCTTTCTATCATCTTTTATGTCATCTTAACATTGCTTGTATAGCTTAATTGACAACCAAAGAAGGAAAAAAACAACCAAAAAACCAAGCTCCACACATCATATTTTCAACCCATTACTCCAGTAAGGTTCCTTAACATGCTTGTTATTTGTTACTATTAACCTAATCCAGCAGTAGAAAATATACCTTTTTGCACTAATTTAGCTTCCTTAATATCATCTATAATAGTTCTTTGTTCTCTGTTTGATGTACCTTGGAGAACTTAGCTCTGTAGACTGCCATTCTCACATCAAAACATTTTTTTCTCTCTTTTCCAGTTGAAACGATGTGCAGCAGCTGTTTTAAGTGCCATCTTCATAAACAATCAGACTGAGCCACATGGGGTCTGTAACTTTCTTTTCATTTCTGTTTCAAATTTGGCTTGTGAAACAAAACAATCATGGCTGACTTTGTGTGACAATTGTCTACAGTTCTAAGCACAAGAACTATCTCAAGCTGTAGTCAACCAATGCCTACCATAAACAGGTATTGATATTGATACTAGATGTCAGATCAAAAGTCCATTCTGGCATTGAATTTTTTCCTTTTTCCTTTTTAAAGAACTGCTGCCCTCGAGGGCCTGTTTAGCCTCTCTGTTTACCTGGTTCACCTGAAGTGCATAGGTCCAACAAATGGCATCTGTTGCTACACTAGATTACTACTTGGAACTTGAAATCAAAGACTAAAATATTACACAAACTAACAGCTAAACAATTGTATTTCTTGTTTATAAGGACAGCTGTCTTTTTTTCTTTTTTTTTTCTTTTTGTTAATGGAGCTTTAAATATGCAAAAGGTTATCTAGAGCTCCTTAACCTATCTTAAACCCATGCAATTCCATCTCAAGCGGTGGCTTTTAGCTGTCCCTACCCCACTGTTCCCTTTCCAAAAGTAGATCTCTAATGAGATGGTCCATGAAACATAAGTACATTGCATGCTGTTAATGAAGAGCATCCCAGTCAGCTAGACTGGTGGATGAGTGAGACTACAGCGCCATGCAATCATCAAATAATAGTGGGCAAAAGCATGCTATGTGGTTGACACTTTGTACAAGAATTTCTGAATTTCTGAAATTCATTATTAAATTAACAAAAAAGGAAATAAAACAGATTTATTCAATTAGTACATCAGTACATCTAATGCACAATGCCTCTGAGCTCCTGCAGCCTTTGTGTGCTCTTGTAGAATATATCGATGTGGTGCAGTACCCTACTGTGGGTTGATATATCATGTGGTCTCACAATTAATGGAACAGCCTCACCAGTAATCTTTTTCATCTGTATGTTAGTTAAGAATATGGACTTTGCCTGCTTCCGATAATAACATCAGACGGAGGAAATGCACTAATGGCATTTGAGGAATTGTAGTGGGGTGGAAAAGAATGCAAAAATCTAACTGTTAAATTCCAAGAAATGGACAAATGGAATAGGAAAGAGTGGGTGGTGGGTATGGTTTATGAGCTTGTAACTGTGCGCAGGCGTTAGGGGAAAAAGAACAGGGAAAATGGTAAATTCTAATCAGAAGTGAGAACAAGATGCAGAAACATATATGACTGTGCGTTAGTGAAGAGGGGGAGACAACACTCTCTCTCTCTCTCTCTCTCTCTCTCTCACACACACACACACACACACACTCAAATACATAGTAGTCTACTGATACATAGACATACAGCCATATGCCCAATTTGGAGATTCCCTCTTCATGGCAGGTTCACAATACCGGTTATCTGAATGGTTTGCAAGGAAAAGTCAGCAAGACCGGATTTACTCTGATTAGAAGAGTTTTGGGGAACAGTGACTGCGACTGGACAATGGGCTCCATGCATACAGATCAGACAAAAATGATTATGCAGGACCACGCTTTATAAAGTTGACTGTCTTCCAACATTTAGCGTGATTAGCATTCCGGTCCATGTCAATGAGCCAGCCACTCTAACTAGTAAGGAAAACAATGGACAGTCATCACTTGGGCAAACATGTTTAATTACTTTGTTCTGATTACTGCACCGAATCTGTTATCGTACAGTGTTGAAAAATACGAATTAACTATTATTAGTCTGTAATAAGCCACACCGTCAGGAAATGGAGGAAAAGCACACTGCAGCTCTGCGACTAACAGGCAACAGCACGGGTTTCAACCACATTCCACAAGCTTCACGAACCACTTAATTAACGGCACCATAACGCTTATTGGATGTTAACACGCTGCATTTGAAAAGGCATGCGTTTTTAAACATCAGATTCAGAGCAGGTTTATTCCGGAATAAAAGAAGAAGATAATTGTGGTCTGTATTAAGAGGAAGGAGAAAAATGAGTGTATTTCACATTAACTTACGCTATCGAAAGGATTGAGGCATAAACAAACTTACCCATATCCGCTTATCTGTTAGCTCCAGCCTACAGGTTTTAACGGCTTCTAGTGCGCGACATCCGAGTCCGCATGACGCGCTCTCCACAGTCAGGTATCGTTCTAATCCACTAGCCCTGTCTCTCCGCGCAGCCGCCGATTCCAAAGCGCACCTGCCCTTTACTCTCCCGGACCTGGGTGTACTATCCGGTTTAGTTCTGCATCTCTAACCGTGCAAATCAGCCGGGGCGAATGTCATTTACTTCCAACTCCGAAATAAAGGGATAAAAATCCGGGTTCAGAATTCCTTATCCATCCCTTCGCTGCAAAGGATCACTCTCTCTTTTTCAAGTAACAGCCAGAAAGAGTACTGCATTAGGTGCAGATAATAGCGAAGCCACATCCGAGTAAGTCATGTCAGTCTTACACATGCAGATTTTGCGAATATCCAGGTAAAAAAACAAACAAAAAAACTTCACAATTATAGTGACGGTGTGCAAAAAAAATGAGTATAATGTTCCAGTAGACTCAGCCAGCCCCCAGATTCCTAATAAACCTCTGCGTCTCTGTTCTCAGAGATGCTCAGTACGATCCACGCATAGCGCGCAGGAAAGTAAGGCGAGGATATCCCCAAGTCGTTGTAAACGCTGTCAGCGGGTATCACGAGATAGTCAAATCTTCAAATATCCACCTTTTTGTAAACCTTTGATTCTCGTTGTTGCTCGGTTTGAAATGCAGCATGACGCTGTTGTTAATCACGTCTACATGTCAAAGCAACTTTGTCAGGCAGAATCGGAATGCCCTCTTCTGGTGAGAGAACGATTCAGGAGCTCGTCCAATGTCGTCACGATCATGCTTTGGTGGTATGATTTTTTTTTTTTACTATTATTACTTATGAAAGCCAGTTTACACTATAGTTTGCACTGCTAGATAATAACTAAATGGAATGAACTTTAGTATTCGTGTTTCATGTATGTGAGTTTTGGACTATTCAGAAATGGTTGTTGGTTAGCACTTTGCTTTAGTTGTTTGAATTATGCTTGAGATTATTTCTAGGGTGCTTATTAAGTTTGTGATACGAAGCTAAGAAACACAAGTATCCTATACATATGTGCATAACTATGAGAGAATGGGCACGTTGCAAAGGCAGCTCTAATACATTCCCATACAGAGGATCTATGCAAACTGCTGAATGATGCTGTCCATGGTGCTGAATTTAAAAATTGTTATTTTGTTGCTGACTGACCCCTTTCCAGAACTTTCAGGACTAAACTCTTTTATCTCAGTTTACATGCAAAATTATTAATATTATTATTGTTTTATTTTTGCTTAATATGTTACAGAAAACGTGTCACCCCAAAATACCAGAATTCTTAAATACACCTGCATTTTCAATAATTTGCATTGAAAATGCAGTGGTATTTAACTCACATCTTCTCCCTCTGCATGACCCCGGTGGCCTTTTAAAGCCTTTTGTGTGTTTAAGAAAGAAATGACCAGCTGAATTTTTAATGTCCATTGCATCTGCTCTGGGTTACTAATATATGGTTGCCCTTTCTTCAGACATAGCTCCATTCTTATACTGACATCAACTGCTTTAGTAAGTATTCTGACCCTAATTTTCTTTTGCACACTGCATTATAGATTCATTTTTACTTGAATGAATAACATGTCTTCATATAAATTTCCACATATTAACCCATGGCGCACTAACATATTTTTGGGGAGATTTTACATTTTTAAAAATACCATACATTTTTAATATCAAGATTTTGACAAACGTTCTTGGCCACCTACACATTGCATCTACAGCCTACAGGAATTGCTTGACCATAGAAAACATTTAGCATGTGTGACCAAGTTGCTAAATACTAAATACTAATACTTTCACTACAATAATACCACTTACCAGAAATAATACAACTAATACCAGTTAATGGTTGAACCTCTAGGAGGAATTTTGCAAACTGACTGGAACACTGCAAGCTCTTTAGAATGTTTACAAATGTTAGACTGCATGGTTTTCTACTTTTGTCTTTAGAGTGTATGTTTTGAACTTTAATTCAGACCATCTTTATTTGTTCTAAAACACAACACTGCTTTTAGCAGTCAGTGGTGATGTGTTAAGAGTGTCTGTGACAAACTATAAATTCCAGTGGCACCTCTGTTCCTGTTTCTTTGCTGTAACCCTTTTCTGTGAATTTGAAATATGTCATGATCCCTACCCACAGTGTTTCATGTGTCAGTTACATATTTGAAAAGGATCCACTTTTCCAATCTGTAATGCAAGACAAAATTAAGTTGAACTCTTTATTGACATTGCACAGTCATGTGTTGTACAAAGAAATTGTAGTACTGTCCCACATCAGTGCTAAAAAAGGTAAGCAAAACACAATAAACAAGTAACATATATACATAATACAATATACAGAGATGAAGACGTCATGCAGATTTAATTGTGTTTAGACAAAACGGCACTGTCATAAAGATTTGGAAAGAAATAGTCAAATCTTACTTTTACCAGTTTATTCCAACTATCATGGCTGGAATTAATTAGTGAAATTGAAATTTATTGCGCCAAATTCAGATTTATTGCTATGCGCTACACCTGTTTTCAGGATATCGCTTAACATTTCCAGACAACCTCCAATACCATCTTAAAATTAAGCATCTTGCACTGTGGTTCGGCCGCTGTATCTGCGCCCATGCAATTTGGCTGATGACTTTACTTCTGGATTCAGTTCAACAAGCAGAGGCCATTCTGCTGACGGTGCTGAAACAATTAATACCCTGTGAAGTTATGGAGATACAGGCTGTGCCAGCCCATAGGCTACAGCTGTGATTTCTCTTCTAAAGAACTATAACTGTTAAGTTTAAGTTTACCTTTTTACTCTGCCAATGAATCACTTGTTTATTTATGTGCCTATTGGATATATAGTATTTGACAAGTAAAAAAGATGCAAAAACAGAAGAAGAAACATGAATTAGCTGCTTGGACAGAAACTATATCTTATGCTTTGTTTTCATGTAAAATACTTTTTATTTGTTTTGACAATATACAGCCAAGTGTAACTGTTCACTGCCATGGGAAATTGTATAGACCAAAATGTAGCTTTAAAGATAAAATTTACCAAAACATTCAACCATGGCTCTAACTATGTTTGTTGCCCAGCAACATTCACACTGAACAATTTTTCAGGTTGTTAAGTGTCAAGGTGATTTCAATAGCACTGCTTTTTGAGCCCCCTCACTATTATCCTTCACATTCTAAAGAAATGCATTTATCACCCTCTTTTGAGATTAGCATTATCCACATAACATTATAAAAATACAGCAGGATCTCAGTGTTCTGGTGTGAAATATTCAGTTTAATGCGATTGTATACTGTACACATTCTAGTGATATTTGACACAGGAAATGACTTGTCTTGTAAATGAATGAATGCCAGATGCAGAGGTAATCTTTATTGCCTGAAAGCTGTCTGTAAGCCTATAAGTTAATCTGTTGGAAAACAAAATAATACAGAAATATGTGTACATGCTTATCTGTATATACTTAGTTTGACTGACATGGTACTTATATAATTCTACAATAATTCAATACTAAATATTTAAAAGAAAGTTATTTTGCAGGGATTTGAATATAAGATGGATTAAATGACTGTGGATGGTTTGGTGACCTACCTGTACGGGTAAAATGTGTGGCCCTAACTTGTGCACTGTGTTCTTTGTAAGTGATTCTGACAACAGAAGATATTTTCAGGCTCTCTCCAGGGTGAGAGACAGCGCCGTCCTGTCCTTCCCATGTTCACATTAGACTGGGACTTGTTCTCTAGTGTTCTTTTCTTTTTCCATTTCCTCTGATCTTAAGCCTGGCAGAATCGTCTTAGCCTGCCTCAAGGCAATTTTCAACCTGACACTGAGTTTCTCAGGTTCACCTATGAATGTGAATCCTCAAACAAATATCCAGGGACAGCTTATATGGTGAACACTGAGCCTTTTGAAAATAAAAGTTTTTATTGTAGCCCCATATTAAAAAAAATGTTTTTAGTACAAAGAATGTTACATTGCCAAGGTTGCCACAGCAGATGTTGAAAATCTCTGTTTTGCAGGTTGCCTCCATTAACCTTTACCCCAAGCTGGCTTCCAATCTGGAGTGCTGTGTTTCACACACTGCAGTTCATGTTGGAGCTGACATGTTTGGGCTTGAACATACATGATACCAGACGTATGTAAAGTGTTTGAAGCATGTAAACAAGCAGGATAAAAGGCTTTTATTTGTATTGCCTGCACAAGGATAGATAGCGTTTGCATGTTGTCCTAATGTTCTTATCTTCTTATGGTTATTAGACTGCATCAATGGTGGAGCATGTTCCAGCCTACTGACTATATACAAAATCCTCTATATATCCTGGCCAACCATTTTCCAATTCATGGCTCTGTCTTTTTGAAATGCATGTACATTTTATCCACCACATATAGACATTCATATGGTGCTACTAATTGGGATGCTGGTGGTTTGATCCCATGTCCACATGATAAAGAGTCCCCAGGCAAGATATTGAGCCTCAAATTGCCCTTAATGCAGCCATTGTGTGTGTGTGTGTGTGCGTGTGTGTGTGTGTGATAGAAAAAAATGCTTAAACTGCACAGAAAAAAGTGCTTTATGAAGGTGAGTGTGAATAGGTGAATGCGACTTGTAGTGTAAAAGTGTTTTGAGTGCTCAGTAAGAGTAGAAAAGTGCTATATAAATACAAATCCATTTGCCTTTAATATCTGTACAAAATGAACATTCATTACCAGTGAACATGAAAATGAACATTACATTTTTTTGTTCTATTACTATTAATATTTTTGGGCTGTGTAAGTAACTTGTTACGAAAAATGTGATTTCATTTTCAATTATGACTGTTGAAATCATAATGACTTTTTGGTTATTAGCTTCTGCATTTTTCTTTGTAAAATTAGGTCATTAATATCAGTTTTTAGTAAATGTTCACATTCACATTTTTCAAAAATGCAAATATAGCTTCGCAAGTAAAAAGAAAAAAAAAACTATGCCGGCTGCTGTTGTGTTCCATGTTCTTCTAAGACTTTTAAATTGCAAAGGATGAACTCTGACTAGTCCAAAAATGTAAAGCATACCTGATCATAACTGAAAAGGATGTGTCTGCATAAGCATTCACATGTTTATTGATTTAAAAAATTCAGATTGTGTACACTTTTAAATCAATTTACCTTAACAGTACTTTCACACACAAAAAATAATTGCACGGTGCTGTACCAGACGTGACAACAATGACGGTATGAAATTTTGCTGATTAGACACACTACAGCTTTGCACTGTTTCAGTGTTTCTCTCCAGATTTTGTTCCCTCAAATGTTTGATTCCATGCCTACTTCATGTGTTTTGTCTTGGCAAAGATGTGAGAGATAAGAGGTGGGCATCTGTGTATGGCAGTGCCTTGCCATCTGTCAACTGCCCATGGGGTCTCTGTGGACATAAGCTCACATGGGTAGAACATGGGTAGGCAAAGAGAGTCTCCAGTAATAAAAGAAAATATGAGAAAAGAAAGAATTAGAAAGATAAGAAAAAGAAATACAAAATTCAATATAAATTCAATTGTGCAGAGAAGATAAATGTACACAAATTACCCAAGTTTACTTTTGCAAGTACACCATATGTTGTGAATTTTGTAGCCATGATTTCCTCTATACCGACAACCTTTTTACAACTATGTGGGGTCAAAAGCAAAGACACAAGGGTGTCT